CACTGAAATGACAGCACAGGGACATTTAAATATCCCGCCCTGCGCTGCCATTGGTGCCCAGCGGGCGGCCGCGGCTTCTACTGCGCATGCGCGAACTCGAACGCCGCGGCCGGCCCGGAACTAGTGCCCGTGTCCCCGCACAGGGCGGTGCAGTGCGCCTGCGCCAGGACCATCGCGGCGGGGATCGAGGGGATCCCTGACAGTTACATAGCGGCTGAAAAAAGACAAAAGTCCATCCAGTTCAACCATAGAAAAACAAATGCAAATTCCCTTTTTTTTTTGTTGCTGTATTCCAACCCTAAATAATTCTGATTGTGGGGTTGATGTGAATGTGGTCCATTATTATGCACCCGGGGGGGACCTCTGGCTTCAGGATAATGATTATTAGACTGCCGAGTGTGATCAGAGTAATATGTGTCACATTGTGCTGGATTGCTATGGCCTCGAGAACGACCATAAAACCGTGATGGGTGGCCATAGGAATGATCAGTATACTGAGAGTTCTTTAGGCCGTGATAGTTGGTTTTTGGGTAGGCGTACGGCCTATTAGCATCATGGGAGTCCCTATCCTGTATACGGGGTGCTCTATAGTCATCTCCTGGGAAGGAGCTCTTTGTATTACAGCCCTTCCTATGGTGGTATGGAGATGCATAAGTAGTAATAACCATTTGTCTCCTGTTGGGGGCACTACCCCTTCGAGGTGAATTGTCCTTGTCTCCCATTTCGATAGTTATTATCTACATATACAAAGAGGGGGTGCAGCGCTACTAAACTCAACAATGACAAAAATGCATATATGAAGTGCAAATAAAGAGGCCACTAGATGGTGGTCAAAGGTGCTAAAGGGTGTTGACTCCGTTAAAAGTCCAGAGAGAAGAAGTGCTGATGAGATTTCAGGTAATCTCAGGGTGTCCAGTGATAGGGACTGTCGATCTTGGTGATAAATAATGAGATTGCGCACTCACCAGATACTCAGCGGATACAGCCTGCTCCCATGGGGTCTCCTCACAAAGAATATGGTTGCTGGGTGAAGAGGAGTTCATCTGGAGTCTGAGAATCAAGATGTTGTGACACACCTGATGAATACTATGCTCCCTTGAGAGCCAATCACGTTTGCAGAACCAGCCATATTCTTTGTGAGGAGACCCATGGGAGCAGGCTGTATCCATTGAGTGGGGATCCCCCATGAGTGATAACACCGCCAGGGAATGAGGATCAATCGGACCTGATCTGACCAGACCTATCTGGATGACCAGAGGCTTACTACTATTGATGCGCATTTGAATTGCGTATCTGGTGAGTGCGCAATCTCATTATTTATCACCAAGATCGACGGTCCATATCACTGGACACCCTGAGATCATCTGAAATCTCATCAGCACTTCTTCTCTCTGGACTTTTAACGGAGTCAACACCCTTTAGCACCTTTGACCACCATCTAGTGGCCTCTTCATTTGCACTTTGTCACTTCATATATGCATTTTTGTCATTGTTGAGTTTAGTAGCGCTGCACCCCCTCTTTGTATATGTGCTTTAGAAGGTTTATGGGTTCCTTTTTTGGTGTACAGCTGCTTATACATTTGGAATTATTTTAGCGCTCGCTGACTTGTTCTGTTATTACTGATAGTTATTATCTGAATAGGGTACAGATCTCATATCTCTCGTGCCTATCTCATCATCCTGCAAATCTTGGAGTGCATGAAACCTGTTAGAAGTGTGGATAGGGAATTCATCATCGTCCGTGGAAGAGGCACTATCCAGGGTGTCTCTTCTGGAATGATGTGCCTGGGGATAATATCCCCTCAAATCAGCACTTGAGAGTCTCCTGAAAAAAGGTTTCAGTGAAGGAGGGGGTCCTCCGGTGTCAAATCTGACATTATGTGTTTTGTTAGCCTCCACATTCATGTCGGTGGGTATTTGCCACCTAACTACTTGCTGACCGCAGATAGCCGAATGACGGCTTCACTGCGGCCGGCCTGTTCTGGGAGGGCGTCATATGATGTTCTCACAGAACACGCCCTCCCACGATCCCCCGGGGGAGCGCACCTGGCGATCTCCATGATCAATGTGTCCCATGACACGCTGATCACCAGGAAATGCAATTGCCAGTTCTCTGCTGCACTTTCCTCAAGCTGTCAGAGTGCAAGGAAAGTACTGCCAAGAACTGGCAGTTGTGGAGGAATCGGCACCAATCATCAGGGCACTGATGATCAGTGCTCTGATGATCGGAGCCCTGCAGTGTCACCCACCAGTGCCACCCACAAGTGCCCAGCAGTGCCGCCCACAAGTGCCCAGCAGTGCCACCCACCTGTGCCCAGCAGTGCTCAGTAGTGCCACCCACCTGTGCCCAGCAGTGCCACCCAGCAGTGCCGCCAGTCAGTGCCGCTTATCAGTGCCCATAAGTGCCAACTATCAGTGCCACCTATCAGTGCCCATAAGTGCCGACTATCAGTGGCAGCTCATCAGTGCTGCCTATCAGTGCCCATCAGTGTTGCCTATCAATGCAGCCTTATCAATGCACATCAGTGAAGGAGAAAAATTACCTGTTTGCAAAATTTTATAATAGAAACAAAGAAAACCTTTTTTTTTTTTTCAAATTTTTTGCTCTGTTTTTGTTTATAGTGCAAAAAAAATAAAACCCCCAGTGGCAAGTAAATACCACCAAAGGAAAGCTCTATGTGTGTGAAAAAAATTATAAAAATTTCATATGAGTACAGTGTTGCATGACCGCGCAATTGTCATTCAAAGTGTGACAGCGCTGAAAGCTGAAAATTGACCTGGGCAGGAAGGGGGTAGAAGTGCCCTGTAGGCAGGAAGGGGGTAGAAGTGCCCTGTAGGCAGGAAGGGGGTAGAAGCGTCCTGTAGGCAGGAAGGGGGTAGAAGTGCCCTGTAGGCAGGAAGGGGGTAGAAGTGCCCGGCAGGCAGGAAGGGGGTAGAAGTGCCCGGCAGGCAGGAAGGGGGTAGAAGCGTCCTGTAGGCAGGAAGGGGGTAGAAGTGCCCAGCAGGCAGGAAGGGGGTAGAAGTGCCCGGCAGGCAGGAAGGGGGTAGAAGTGCCCGGCAGGCGAGGGGTTAAAGACTTTATTCTCCTTGTAATCTTTATTATCTCGTAAATATTTCTTTCTCTTTTTAGCCTTTTGTTCATTCTCAGTATTAGTTGTAATTTATTATATTCAGCTTTATACTCCTTATTTCCTACAAAAGGGAGAAACCGTCTATAAAGAGGGAGTTATTACTAAGAAGGAAAAGAGTTCTGATGTCCCTCCTCTCCTGGGATGTCTGCTTTATACCGGCTACCTAACATTCAGAAGGACCCGGCTCATCCTCCAGGGTGTCCAGTTATTGGTGGCATTGGTTCTCTGTTCTCCCGGGGGGGGGGGGGGGGTCTGTACACTGACACATTTCTGCAGACATTAGTCTGTATCACTCCTTCCCTCCTAAAAGACACTAAACAGGTTTTACAAGAAATCCAAGATATAACTGTCAGCCCAACACTTTCCTAGTTACAGCAGATGTGGCTTCTCTGCACAGCGACATCAGACATGAAGATGGCTTGGAAGCTGCTGGACATTATCTCTGTGACACCGAAGAGATTAGCGACCCTCACAAATCATTTATACTGAGATTATTGGATTTGGCGATGTCACATAACTAGTTCTGGTTCAATAAGCAGTTTTACCTGAAAGCCAGAGGGGTAGCCATGGGGGCTAAATTTGCCCCCAGTTTGGCAAATCTTTTTCTGGCTGGTTGGGAGGAGGACCTTATATACGCGAGAGACTGGAATGAATTGATGTGTTACAGGAGATATATTGATGATATCCTCTTTCTTTGGCAGGGAGATAAGGGATCTTTAGATAATTTTATTGGCACTTTAACCCCCCCTGGAGGTATTCCCGAGTGTAGCTCGGGGGAAAGTTTCAGCACCACAAGCGGTAACCCCCCCCCCCCCCCCAAGCTACACTCGGGAATACACTGCAGCGTTGCTCCGGGATCCCTTCTACGCTTACCTTGTCCTGCGCTCCCGCGATGTCCCCCCTGCATCGTCCCCGGCCATCTCCTCCGGCCGATGCCGGCATCTGTCTTCTGGGTTCCGGTCCCTGCGACGTCGGGACGTACGGGGGACGGAACTGGCGGGAAATTCAAAAATGTAAAAAAGTGACATTCACAAAATACACTAAAATCACATATTCACACATTGCTGTCTCAAACCATTTCACATACATTTTGTCCCGAGTGCTTTGTCCGGCGCCCTGCCTGCATTGTTACTGTTCTTCCTGTCTGGAAACTGAGAAACGTCCATGGTGTCCAAAAAGCGTCCCTTTAGGTCAGACGCGGTTTTAGACCGGCTAGAGAACAGCGATAGTAAATCAGAACCACTTGCAGAATTGAGTGATAATGATTGGTGGGGGAAATTCATCATCAGACACTGAAAACGATTCTGCGACTGAGCTCAGCGATGGGCGAACTTGGCGCTATATTTCACATTTCAGTGTTTTTGGTTTGATTATATTATTGAATTACATTTATTATTATTATTTTTTATGATTATTTATTATATTATAATTTATGATTTCGTGTTTCAAGTTTTATCCTCCCCGGGATGTTTACTAGACTCTTGTCCGGACAGATTTCAGGGAGTTATTCCTAAAAATGACAATAAAAAAACCACATATTTCCATGCAAATAATGTACCGCTTTGAGCACAGAAATATGGACATCATCAGACCGCCAGGGAGCTTAATAACAACACGTTAAATATTAGTCTTACACTGTTAGTTGCGAAGAAATCAACTTCCTCGATCTAACACTTATAAACAATGGGACTCATAGAGCGACCAAACAGTTACATACCTACAGACAGCCGGCACCACCCAGTTTGGTTCAAAAATATTCCCAAAGGAAATTCATTAGGATTAGATGTAACTGTCATCATCTGTCTGATTTCCACCTGCAGGCCAACATCCGGAAAAACAGGTTTTTAGAAAAAGGATATGCTAGGGATGTTCTAGAGGACACCATGACTCAAGTGGCCGAGTTGGACACGGTTCCCTCTTTAATAAACAGACAGTTGAGCCAGAATCTCCTTTAATCTGCCCTTTTGTCCCCAATTTTTCAATACAACATCACCAGGTCAAAACATTATGTCCAAACATTGGAGCATTTTAACCACTTCATGTCCGGACACTTCCCCCCCCCCTTCCAGTCCGGACACTTTCACCCCCTTCCAGTCCGGACATTTTCCCCCTTCCAGTCCGGACATTTTCCCCCCCTTCCAGTCCGGACACTTTCCCCCCTTCCAGTCCGGACACTTTCCCCCCTTCCAGTCTGGGCACTTTCCCCCCTTCCAGTCCGGACACTTTCCCCCCCTTCCAGTCCGGACACTTTCCCCCCTTCCAGTCCGGACACTTTCCCCCCTTCCAGTCCGGACACTTTCACCCCCTTCCAGTCCGGACACTTTCCCCCCTTCCAGTCCGGACACTTTCCCCCCTTCCAGTCCGGACACTTTCCCCTCCTTCCAGTCCGGACACTTTCCCCCCCTTCCAGTCCGGACACTTTCCCCCCTTCCAGTCCGGACACTTCCCCCCCTTCCAGTCCGGACACTTTCCCCCCTTCCAGTCCGGACACTTTCCCCCCTTCCAGTCCGGACACTTTCCCCCATTCCAGTCCGGACACTTTCCCCCCTTCCAGTCCGGACACTTTCCCCCCTTCCAGTCCGGACACTTTCCCCCATTCCAGTCCGGACACTTTCCCCTCCTTCCAGTCCGGACACTTTCCCCCCCTTCCAGTCCGGACACTTTCCCCCCCTTCCAGTCCGGACACTTTCCCCTCCTTCCAGTCCGGACATTTTCCCCCCCTTCCAGTCCGGACACTTTCCCCCCCTTCCAGTCCGGACACTTTCCCCTCCTTCCAGTCCGGACATTTTCCCCCCCTTCCAGTCCGGACACTTTCCCCCCCTTCCAGTCCGGACACTTTCCCCCCCTTCCAGTCCGGACACTTTCCCCTCCTTCCAGTCTGGACACTTTCCCCCCCTTCCAGTCCGGACACTTTCCCCCCCTTCCAGTCCGGACACTTTCCCCTCCTTCCAGTCCGGACACTCCCCCCCCCCTTCCAGTCCGGACACTTTCCCCTCCTTCCAGTCCGGACACTCCCCCCCCCTTCCAGTCCGGACACTTTCACCCCCTTCCAGTCTGGACACTTTCACCCCCTTCCTGTCCAGGCCAATTTTCAGCTTTTAGCGCTGTCACACTTTGAATAACAATTGCGCGGTAATGCAACATTGTACCCATATGAAATTTTTAGCATTTTTTTGAGACAGATAAAGCTTTATTTTGGTGGTATTTATTCACCGCTGGGATTTTTATTTTTTTTGCTATATAAATGAAAAAGTCCAAAAATTGTGAAAAAAAGTGTTTTTCTTATAAAATTTTGCAAATAAATAATCTTTCTTCATAAATCTTGGCCAAAATTTATTCAGTTAACTTTTTTAGTAAAAAAAAAAAAAAATAACCCAAATTAGTTTATAACCAAAATTATAATTTTTCCAAAATTCTTATTTACACTTTATTTTTTTTATATTATTATTTATTTATTTTTACATACTGTCACCCTAGCAGTACAGTCACCATGGTGACACTGTACTGCTTGTGGGGGCGGATGAAGATTTTTTTTTTATTACACTGATTGCTTTTACTCCCATAAAGGCTGTAAGAGGAATCATTTCTCCTTCTCTCTGGCTGCATTCTTGCAGCTATTGAGAACTACTGTGAGAGCTGTGATTGGTCACAGCTTGTCACATGGTACAAGGCTGTTGTGAATGGCCCTGTACCATGTGACCTCTGTGATCATTCACAGATTTCACATGTAGTAAGCAATGTCAGAAGTGACATCTTGCTTAATACTCTGCATGTGATCACTGATTGGCCAATCAGTGATCACATGATCGGGACCTCAAATAGAGGTCCTGTACAGCGATCGGTGTTCCGCTGTACGCAGGGAGCGCGCACAATCCAAAATGGCGGGCACCGTTTATGACAGCAAGCACACCCGCCCCTGCACTGCCACCCTCCGGCCATTTATATACAGCGGCCGGACGACAAGTGGCTAAGGAATGACCCCATACTGAAAGATTTCCTCCCACCTAGACCAGAGGTCATCGTCAGAAGAGCGCCATTCCTGAGAGACAAGATCGCATCAAACATAGTCAACCCTCCGCAGGAGATTTCCTTGTTTAACCCCTTCCCGCCTGAGGGTAAAACAAATGTTAATGCCTAAGCACAATTTTTACAACGTTGATGAGTGTTAGTAAATATCATCACAACTATTTCGTACATCCGGGTGGATTATACCGCGATTTTTTTTCTGGACAAATTGGGTTTTCATTGGTGGTGGTAAATGGTAATGGATATCTCCTGATTTTTTTTTTTATTATCAAAGGAAAATTGGCCCAAAATAGTAAAAAAAAATCATTTTTTTTAAATGTAGCTGTGTGTTTCTTGTTATGACCGTAACCGACCACCAAAGAACAACCCAAAATAAATTCTCCAGCTCTTGACGATCGCAGCGATACCATCTATGTGGGTGTTATTTGTTGTTTGTACCCCGGAGTACGGCCCAGAGGCAATGGTGCGCATTTTGTTTTGTTCTTTTGTACCTAAAACACACTGACAATGATACCAAATTTGTTTTTTAAATCCTGAACTTTGACCCTGACCTTGACCCTGACCTTGACCCTGACCTTTGACCCTGACCTTGACCCAAACACTTAAGCTGGCACTGAACTAGATCAAACCTTCATCTAGGTATTTTTTCTTTATTTTTTAATATTTATGATCACCATGTATAATACATAAGGGGGGCATATGATCTCCATGTATAATACATAAGGGGGGGATATGATCTCCATGTATAATACATAAGGGGGGGATATGATCTCCATGTATAATACATAAGGGGGGGATATGATCTCCATGTATAATACATATATGATCTCCATGTATAATACATAAGGGGGGATATGATCTCCATGTATAATACATAAGGGGGGATATGATCTCCATGTATAATACATAGGGGGGATATGATCTCCATGTATAATACATAAGGGGGGATATGATCTCCATGTATAATACATAAGGGGGGATATGATCTCCATGTATAATACATAAGGGGGGGATATGATCTCCATGTATAATACATAAAGGGGGATATGATCTCCATGTATAAATACATAAGGGGGGATATGATCTCCATGTATAATACATAAGGGGGGATATGATCTCCATGTATAATACATAAGGGGGGGGATATGATCTCCATGTATAATACATAAGGGGGGATATGATCTCCATGTATAATACATAAAGGGGGATATGATCTCCATGTATAATACATAAGGGGGGATATGATCTCCATGTATAATACAAAGGGGGGGGGGATATGATCTCCATGTATAATACATAAGGGGGGGATATGATCTCCATGTATAATACATAAGGGGGGATATCTCCATGTATAATACATAGGGGGGGATATGATCTCCATGTGTATAATACATAAGGGGGGATATGATCTCCATGTATAATACATAAGGGGGGATATGATCTCCATGTATAATACATAAGGGGGGATATGATCTCCATGTATAATACATAGGGGGGGGGATATGATCTCCATGTATAATACATAAGGGGGGGATATGATCTCCATGTATAATACATAAGGGGGGGGATATGATCTCCATGTATAATACATAAGGGGGGATATGTATAATCTCCATGTATAATAATACATAGGGGGGGGATATGATCTCCATGTATAATACATAAGGGGGGATATGATCTCCATGTATAATACATAAGGGGGGGATATGATCTCCATGTATAATACATAAGGGGGGGATATGATCTCCATGTATAATACATAAGGGGGGATATGATCTCCATGTATAATACATAAGGGGGGATATGATCTCCATGTATAATACATAAGGGGGGGGATATGATCTCCATGTATAATACATAAGGGGGGATATGATCTCCATGTATAATACATAAGGGGGATATGATCTCCATGTATAATACATAAGGGGGGATATGATCTCCATGTATAATACATAAGGGGGGATATGATCTCCATGTATAATACATAAGGGGGGATATGATCTCCATGTATAATACATAAGGGGGGATATGATCTCCATGTATAATACATAAGGGGGGATATGATCTCCATGTATATAATACATAAGGGGGGATATGATCTCCATGTATAATATACATAAGGGGGGGGATATGATCTCCATGTATAATACATAAGGGGGGATATGATCTCCATGTATAATACATAAGGGGGGATATGATCTCCATGTATAATACATAAGGGGGGATATGATCTCCATGTATAATACATAAGGGGGGATATGATCTCCATGTATAATACATAAGGGGGATATGATCTCCATGTATAATACATAGGGGGGATATGATCTCCATGTATAATACATAAGGGGGGGGATATGATCTCCATGTATAATACATAAGGGGGGATATGATCTCCATGTATAATACATAAGGGGGGATATGATCTCCATGTATAATACATAAAGGGGGGATATGATCTCCATGTATAATACATAAGGGGGGATATGATCTCCATGTATAATACATAAGGGGGGGATATGATCTCCATGTATAATACATAAGGGGGGATATGATCTCCATGTATAATACATAAGGGGGGGATATGATCTCCATGTATAATACATAAGGGGGGATATGATCTCCCATGTATAATACACATAAGGGGGGATATGATCTCCATGTATAATAATAAGGGGGGGGGATATGATCTCCATGTATAATACATAAGGGGGGATATGATCTCCATGTATAATACATAAGGGGGGATATGATCTCCATGTATAATACATAAGGGGGGGATATGATCTCCATGTATAATACATAAAGGGGGATATGGGATAAGGGGGGATATGATCTCCATGTATAATACATAAGGGGGATATGATCTCCATGTATAATACATAAGGGGGGATATGATCTCCATGTATAATACATAAAGGGGGGATATGATCTCCATGTATAATACATAAAGGGGGGATATGATCTCCATGTATAATACATAAGGGGGGATATGATCTCCATGTATAATACATAAGGGGGGATATGATCTCCATGTATAATACATAAGGGGGGGATATGATCTCCATGTATAATACATAAGGGGGGATATGATCTCCATGTATAATACATAAGGGGGGATATGATCTCCATGTATAATACATAAGGGGGGGGATATGATCTCCATGTATAATACATAAGGGGGGATATGATCTCCATGTATATAATACATAAGGGGGGATATGATCTCCATGTATAATACATAAGGGGGGGGATATGATCTCCATGTATAATACATAAGGGGGGATATGATCTCCATGTATAATACATATAAGGGGATATGATCTCCATGTATAATACATAAGGGGGGGATATGATCTCCATGTATAATACATAAGGGGGATATGATCTCCATGTATAATACATAAGGGGGGGATATGATCTCCATATATAATACATAGGGGGGATATGATCTCCATGTATAATACATAAGGGGGGATATGATCTCCATGTATAATACATAAGGGGGATATGATCTCCTCCATGTATAATACATAAGGGGGG